TATTAAACAGATATATTTGCAGATATGAAGTTGTTAGTCTCATACATTCATTTTAGCAGTACAGCTGTCTGGCTGGAAATGATCCTACCCCTAACCCTAGACTGGTTGCCCGTGACCAGGTGGATTTTAAGAGGTCAATGAATGAATCAAGATAACCTGATTGTGCAACATTGAGTCCAAGATGGTCGTTAAACTCACGGTAAGTTGTCTCCGTAGGACAGTGGAGGTCTCAGTGGCCACGTTAAGCTGCTTGCCCTCCAGTGTGCAAATGCTGCAGATGTAGCGTCTGGATGACTTGCAGTAGTACCTCAGCACCTCATCCTCATGCTGTGGGCACCTCCTCTCTGCGAGGTCGCTCAGCGGTCCCACCAGAGGGTGCCCAGTGAACACTGGCAGCTCCTGGTGGTCCTTGACGTGCTCTTTGCACAGCGACACCTCACACTTCGTACATGTCTTGACAGCCAAGATGTTTTTCTCTGGGCAGTAGTCGCAGTACACACATTTTGTCTGCTTTTCCTGGGGAGAAAATGTCAGATATTGACATGAAGAATGATGTATTGCAGTCACGCAGAGTTGTTTACAGTTTTTAAGACTGCCAAACAGATTTGAGATTTTAAAAAGTGCATCTAGTGGGCACCCTGGTCCTCCTGCTCAGCCTGAAGTCCTCTGCGATGCTGGCCAGCGCGTAGCTCTTCTGCACAGTAACAACCTGACCAAAATGCGCCCTGCAGTCTGGGCACTTGAATGGGACGTCTGAGGAGTGATCCATCAGGCCTTCCAGGCACGTCATACACATGCTGTGTCCACAGGGCAGCTGCCGAGGATCCTTGAATATGTCCTGGCACACTGGACACATGAGCATCTCCTCCATCCGGTTTTCTTCTGCATCTTCCATCTCTGAAAAGAAAGAATAAGAGTGACAGCGAGCGTGGAAAGAGCAAGAAGGAAGGCGTGACATGCAAACTTTTTCCAGCGTCACACTACTGTGGGTCTAAACACTTCCTGTTGAGTTTGTTTTGAATAAACCATCAACATCAGCATGAAGGCACTCGAAGATTTAATCCCCACCTCGTTATCCAAAAGGTTTCGGAGGCTTGTCGGTATTATTCGTTTTCTGTCTTCGCTACATACATTGCTAAAGGTGAAAGCACCTCGGTGTTATGTTTCATACTTCCTGGTGGGCGTGGCTTACGTGGACTATTCGTTACGTGTTTCCGGTTGCGTCAACGTAGCCTTATTCTTTAAAATAGAATAGAATAGAATAATCCTTTAATTGTCCCACAAGGGGAAATTTGGTTGTAACAGCAGCCAAAAAGACACATATACAAACAAACAGTACACAGGACAAACATCCACAATTTTTCTTACATATTTACATTAAGGACAGTGGTTACTATAAACAGAGAGTACTGTACAGTTATTA